CAAGCAGAACCTAGAAATTCAGATCCCATTCATATGCTTGGGAGAAGTATCTGCTGAGCATGTCAGCTTTGGCATTCTAAATAATGGGCTGATAAAAATCACTGAGGATCTTATATGATGTTTTATGCACATCAAAGTTCCACAAACTTCACAGCTTCAGTGCACACAAAAGGAAATCTCTTCCTACCCATTGATATTAAGCATGCAGGTCACATTGTCATGCCTCTGATATATCTGGGTCTGATGATAGAAAGTGAAGACAGGCAATTCCGACTTCTCCAAGCTCCAGAAGGTTCATATTAAGAGTGGTCTCCTGAGGTTACCATCTGCCTGTGCTGTCAGAGAGCAGACGTTTATCCCCCCAGCCCAGATGGATCTGTTGTTACCATTAACGTCAGTGCCAATTGGAGGAAGGGAACCTTCACCCAAACATTGTGATGTATCACCCACTAATCTAGGGAATGCTTCACTCACTGGGTTATCAACACTTACTTGTCTAGATTGCATCTGTTTGGCAAGTAAACTGTTTTGAGCAATCCTGGAAACAGTGGAGACATAACCTTGCATGCTCACCAAAAGTGCGAACGGCCATGTGACCCAGAACTTGAAGGCAATTTCTGACTGAGGCCAGGACTGTCTTGAATTATTTTGATAATATCATCCATGGGAAGCAATGTCCTACACGTCCCGGAATCCAGACATGCAGCTTTGAATTGTACATTCTGAGCAGGAATTAGTGTGGATTTTTCTATGTTCAGTTGGAGGCCCAGATCCAAAAAGAAGGAGCTGCTATTCTTGTGGCAGACAACACCTCTCAGTAGGCTGCGGTACTACAACACCATTATAGCCTGATGACACAGGTGAGCAGCTACTACTGACAGAATCTATGAAAATACTCTAGGAGCCAAAAAGAGAGTCTGAAATGGAGAACTCAATACTGGAAATGATCCTGCCCCACATGGGGACCTAGCTACATGGAAGTATGTGTCCCGGATGTCAAGGACTAAAATCTAATTTCCTGAATCTAAATAAGAAATTATAGCTGCAAGGATCACTATCTTGAATTTCTGGGGTCTCACAAATCTGAAATCTAGAATTAATCTCTTCTGGAAAGCCAGGAAACAGTTTGAATAGCAACCCTTTCTCCTGTGTAGGACAGGTACTGATTCTTTTGCTCCTAATCAAAGAAGTGTGTTTATTTTCTGCCTTAGCAAGGGCTCATGAGAAAAGTTGCTGAAGAAGGGGAGGAAAGGTAAAAGAGGAAAAGGAAAGGAGGGGGGTAAAATGGATGCTGCAGTCCTATAATATTACCTCCAGCACCTATTTGTCTGAGGTGAGTTCCCATGGATGGCAGAAATGGGAGTCAGTGTCCAAAGAGAGAAGGTAGACAAAATAATGAAGCTCAAAGGCTAACTGGGTAGGATTCTAATCCTCTGCTGTCCCATCAGAACTGGTTCTTTGATAATGATGACAACAACTATCGTGAAGTCACATCAGCTGGGCTACAAAGTCTCTTTCTCCGAAATCAATGTCTTTTTCTGGTTGTTTCCTCAGATTTCTGGAATCCAGAGACTTGTGCCAGGTGGGATCTCTGGGCTGTTTGCAATCTGCTGAACTTCCATTTGTTTGCAGGAACATAAATCCCTAAAGAGCTTAGTGTGGCCCTGACATCATTAAGGGGTATGTAAATGAATCATCAGTGCTCTTTACAAAGAACCCCCCATCCAGAAAATGGGAGATTCTCAAGTGTATTTTGAACTTCCTTGGGGGAGGTTGCAGCTAGAAAAACCAATGTATCACCGTTACTGCAAAGATGGAATGGGTCACAACCTCTGCAGCTCTGAGCATGACCTTCTTGCCACTAACTGTCGCTCAGCAATGCTGACTTGGATTTGTTCCCTTTGATCTGGAGGAAGGTGCTCAATAAAGAACCTCAATTTTGTGTAGCTGGTAAAGTGGTAGTTGGGTATCAATGCTCAGTATTTTGCAATATGGAATTATGCCACAGCTGATGAATAGACCTTCATTCCCAGGAGAGTCAAGAATTTTTGGTCTCAGTCCTATGGGGTGGATTTATTATGGTATCGTTTGCCCCATTTATTCACTACCTGAAAAGTCAGAGAACTGGGAAGTTGGCAGGAGCAAAGCAATTCACTCTTTGGAGGGGACACAATAATTTCGTTGGGTGTCTTATAAGTGGGTATCACTGTACCTGGTGTTTGCTAGATGGTTATAGAAGGAGCCAGGAAAGCCTCATTAATAAGGAGGGCAACGCTAATAGTTTGCAATGGGTTTCTCAAGGAAAGCCTCATTAATAAGGAGGGCAACTCTAGATGGTGTCTAATAGTTTGCAATGGGTTTCTCGGACCTCCTCAAGGTCTGCCACCTGTTTAACAAAGTCCTGGAGATGGTGAAAATCATCATCTGTAGAAGGAGAGGAAGGCATCATGGCTTCATCCAGTGGTTTGAAGTGTGGAACCTGTGTCCATCCTGAACTTTTGCTTTTGCTGCTGAGGAGAAGCTTGGCTTTTCATGTCACCCTAATGGTATAGGGCCAGGGCTTCAGAGAACTGGATCTCAATATGGTCATTGAGGTCCATGTGAGGAAAGCGATGGCATCCAGGGTTGCTCTCACCATGAGCGATGACGTCCCAAAGCATCTTTCCTGTACTGTCAATAGGGAGGATCAGGGTAAAAGTGTACTAGAGAAACTAGCACTGAAACGGAAGAATCAGAATGAAAATCATCATCAACATCTTTTTTTTTTTTTGGCTAGTGGGGGAGTTCCCAGACAACGGGAGAGCGATAGTACCAGGGATGTAAATGGATTCAGCAACTGATAGTTACTCTCTACCAAAAGATGCTCAGTACTTGCTAATAATGGAGGCTCTGGTTCACCAATCACTGCCAATTCTTTCCAATATCTGAAGTCCTACAGAACCAAATGGTGTTGTGTCAATAGTTGTTGCAGGAGCAAGAGCCTGTCCTTATTCTGCAATAAGCCTGAGGGTGCTTTTTGCACCAATGAGGTCAAAAGCTTTCATGCTACCACAGCACTTAGCAATGGCACCGAGAGTGGAATTCAGTATTATGCTACCAATGATCTATGCATGGCATCTTCTCCAGTGAAGGGTATTAGGGGTTTTTTCAGAATGCTGCTTGATCTCAGAAATGTAACATTTTCCCATGCCCCTCCATCCTAGAGGAGCCTTTCCCACCTATGATACTGATCCTCAAGGAAGACCTGTCAGAGGCCACAAATATGGCTGGAGAAAGAACTTTCTGAGGAACAATCTCTGGGAAATGAAAACAGAGTTCCTCTTATGAAAAGCTTTGGAGGTAGACTCCTTCCTGAGAGAATATTATACCAAGGTGGAAAGGGCACTCAAAATTCCTGGAGACTAATACCCAGGAGGCCCTGACCTGGTTGTGAAGTGGGGTAGAATGAAAGCCCTATCATGAAGGGTCAAAATTTGAACTCTTGGATCTTCCAAGCCCTACATTTCAGAATTAGGAAGAAGTTGCACTTCTGGAATATCAGTCATTGATTGTAATGGCCACATCACACGAGAGGCAATATTTGAACCCTGGTGAATCAGTAATGCACTGTGCAGGAGGAATTTCCCCATAGGGAAAATAAATCTCCACTTTTTTTTTAAAGCAAACAAACAATCAGCTAGTTCTTTCTCCAGCCATATTTGTGGCCTCTGACAGATCTTCCTTGAGGATCAGTATCATAGGTGAGAAAGGCTCCTCTTGGATGAGGGATGTGGGAAAATGCCACATTTCTGAGATCAACTAACTGAGATAACTAGCAGCTCCAAAACTGACACAGTTCACAAGAAGCAGACACACTAGCTCTGTCTCGGGCCAAAGAAGTTGAGAAGGAACTGAGGTGGCATCCACGCGCAGAGCCTTATATTACCAAGGCAGCTGGCGGCGAGAGGGGCAGTTGCCCCAGGCATGGAGATTTAAAATGGCCCCTGGATCCCAGCCATCACTAATGCAGCATGGCAGCAGCCAGAGCCGCGGGCCCTTTTAAATCACTGCCGGAGCTCCACATGGCTGGGCAGCACTGGACAGTTGGCTGGAGGGAGGCTGATCCCTAGCTCTGCCCCCTTTCTGCCCAAGTCCCCATCCCTTCCAGGAGCCCTGAACCAGCCACTCTCACCTTGCCCCGGGACCAGCATTTCTCTTGGTAGCCCTGTATATATGCTTGTGCCCTGCTTGAAGGCCAAAAATGGCACATACACAAACAGACGCTACTGTTGATTAATGTTGTGTGCAGCACATGATACCAAGAGCAGAGCATCCACAGGGATACAGCTCAAAGTAGTAATTGTGTTGTATTATTTAAGAAGTATTATAGGATCATGTGGTTAAGACTATATATAGACACACACACACACACACACACACACACACACAGAGGCAGAGTTAGGAAACTATTTCTCCTGAGAGGTGGACTGTGCAACCTTAACAATTCTGTGAATGTAGTTTATTTTCTATGGTATACATTTATAGATTAGGCAGCAAGTAGAGACTGGCCAGTAGATAGAGGTATCACACTGCAATTTTTGAACCTGACTTTGGGACCTAAGTCAATAGGAGTCATTCTATTGGTGCAGATCCCTATTGAAAAGGTTCACTCCACCCCCTTCTCTCCCTGCCACTCCCAGTCTAAGAAATGCAGTCTATTTCCTAATGTCTAAGCCATTCTTATAACTTCCTCCCTTGTACAGCTACTACATGAGCAATTGCTTCTAGAGAGAAAGAGATTCAAACGTTACCTATTAAGACTGGTGACCCTTGATTTAAAAAAAAAAAAAAAAAAAATCTCAAAAGTATACACATACAGCCTGTTGGGGCAGATTCCAACTCTTGCTGAAAACAACTTGCATCTTTGTTGGTATCTGCGTGTACTGAAGAATAGCTGGCCGCATCCCTGAAGCTCACACCCTGCTCTGTATCTGCCTGCTGATGCCTCACTTCTATTGTAGGAGCAACAAGTACTGCGGGATTCTTCCCCTCTCAGAGAGCAGCAAGTTTCTTTCATCGAACATTAGCATATGCAGTAAGTTGACACTCAATGTGAAGGAAAGGCCTGGTACCACCAGAAACTTCGCGGTCATGGTAAGGTGAGTAAAGGGTGACATTGGTTGATTAGCAGGATGTGGAAAGATCATTTCAAAACTATGAAGCAGAGGCTTCCTTTGAATGTAAGTTTGGGATGATTATTCTACTACTGGAACCTCTATGTCATACCTGCAATGCATAGGAGTAAGGCCCTCTATTCTCTTTGGTTACTGATTTCTAGGTTTTTAAAAAGCTGTTACATAGTTTTACTGATTTTCACTCAAAGTTTGGACCATTCAGTTACAAGAAATACTGGTTATATTTAGAAAGTCTAATACATTACACAAAGTTTGGACCATTCAGTTACAAGAAATACTGGTTATGTTTAGAAAGTCCCAATACATTACATTAATTTGTTGTTAACACATCTACCTAAGCATAAATGTAAGTCTGTCTGTTAAATAAAGACAATGTAGTGGAAGGTGTACACACACACATGTACACATATGCCTATGTCTTTAATGCACAGTTCATGAAAAAACCCAGAACATTAAACTGTTTTTGGTTTGGTTTTTTTTTACTTCGTTTTGAACCCAGAAAAGCGTTAAATCGATTTTTGAACCAATTTTCCCCAGTTTTACATGGGTTTCTGTTGTTGGTTTTTTGTTTGTCTCTTTGTTTGTTTTGTTACAAACACTGCGTTGGGTTTTTTGTTTGTTTGTTTGTTTGTTTTTGTTACAAACACTGATAAATTCCCAGGAATAGTAAACAAAATTAAAATGAAGAGCCTTGTATATGAGTTACTCATACATTTTTTGTTACCCAAAGAATAACAAAGGGTTGCCCCATTAAACTAATTCACAGTTTGGAAAATCAAGTCAGATCAATTTCACTACTAAGGACTACCTATCAAATGAAGTCTAATCCAAGAGAAGAAACTCCAATTGACTTCCATGAACTCTGGATGAACTTTTGGTGTTTTGTCCCTCAATAGGGGAGGGCATAATTACATATTTAAAGAGACTTCCTTTCAGGAATGAAAAACCCACAGGAAGAGTCTTATACATCTCAGGTTCTTTATATTTGGTCCTGTCCTAAGAAAGTTCACCACACACGAGGGCAAGAGTAGGATGAAATAAATATTTCAAAATATTTTAGAATGTCTTGTTGGTGTAGACCTGTAAGAAGCAGTAAGTGCTAAAATTCCTGTGACTATGCCTGCTGTAACATACAAAGAAAACACAGGAGGCCAAATTAATATCTGGTGTAATACTGCTGAAATCAAGGGAAAAGTCAGAGTTTGCCAAAGATGGAGTTGCCTAGAAAATAAGAATCCCAAAACTGTTCACTGGAGCTCTGGTTTTTAAAAAAGAGAGAGAGATAAATTGAGCCAGACCATGATCTGAGTACTTTCTTCCCAATTAGGACTGTACATTGACCTGCAATTATTAGTGTGTAAATTTGTTGCAGTAGGGGAAAGTACTATTTTGTTCTGTGTTTTATGGTACCTAGATCAATGGAGTGTTGGTCCATAAGCAATCATCACCACCATCATCATTTTTGTATTAAAGTGGGGAAAGAATGAACAAATGTTAAAAAAAATAAAAAACTATGCATCCAATCTTACAGCACCATATTTTTCTAGGAATAATACTTTAGGAAAGGTTGGGATAGTCCCCAAAGGAAAAAACAATCAGGAACTGAAACAATACCATGTGGCCAATCAGAACGTAACAAAGCTAACATTTGTACAATGAGAATCAAATATTGACAATGAAGTGCTCATAATTAGTCCACAGAAATTACAAGTAATTCAAAAAGAGGGAGAAAGTAAATCTGAACAAAAAATGACTTTTTGTGATCTCCTCATAGATAATCTGAAAGCCAAAAAAAAAAAAAAAAAAAGAGAGATACCATGGCTATGTCTAGACTTCAGGCTTCTTTTGGAAGAAGTTTTTCCAGAAGAGAGCTTTTGGAAAAACTTCTTCTGAAAGACAGCATTCACAGTGCAAAAGCTCATCAAAAAAGTGATCTGTATTTTCTAAAGATAGCATCCATTCAGTGTGGACGTTATCTTGCATTTCAGCTGAGATTACTATGGACGGAATGGCCACCAGAGCACCTGTGCTTTTTCCTAGAGGCCTCTTCTTTCGAAAGAACTCCCTCTTCCCTGTCCACACACACCTTTTTCCGAAAGAGTTCTTTCAGAAAAAGGCTTCTTCCTCATAGAATGAGAATTACCAATATCAGAAAAAACCCTCTGCTCTTTAGATTTTCTTTTGGAAGAACGCGATTGCAGAGTGGATGTAATTGATGTTTTTTTCAGAAAAACGGCCATTTTTCTGAAAAAGCTCTGTAGTGGAGGCTTACCCTAAGGGTCAGATTTGTAAAGGTATTTTGGCACCTGAAGATGAACGCTGGCCAACTAGCTGGATTTTCAGAGGTTCCTACAGGCCAATCTGTATCTTTAGGCTCCCAGAATTCCTTTCAAAATCTGACCTTGAGACTTGAATCTTCCAAGGAGGCTAAGGAATTAGGGACCCAGTCCTCTTGGAAGTCAATAAAAGCTGGACACCTGACTCACTTAGGTTTATTGAAAAGTCCCAGTCTAATATCTACTGAGTGATTTATTAATTGATAAATTTACATGGCTGCCGCGCTGAGCCGACAAACAGCTGATCAGCTGTTTGTCGGCTCAGCGCGGCAGCCATGTAAATTTAAATGAAGCGGCAATTATTTAAATCACCGCTTCATTTTACTATGTCTGGTAGCCTAATCTACATGCCTCTGGCGACAGAGGCATGTAGTCTAGACGTAAGTTAAGTTGTTCTTCTAAATATTCAGCTCTTGAGCAAGCCTTTGAGGGCTGTTGCTGATAGTAATAAAATTAAATGAGCAGGCTCACTACAAATGAATATATTGTAATTATCAACTCTGAATTTTGATTAAGTGTCCCATTTAGCTTTAATTTCTTTTTTTCCCTCCACATAATGTCTAATCAAAAAAGCCAAAAATATATCCATAAGAGAGGAAAGATGGATGTTTTTACTTGAGCAGTCATTCAAAGTGTTAAATACCATCTTCTTTGTCTCCTAAATAGTCGCCTTGATGGCTAAAATAGACTTGATTGTCAACTGCTTTAGTATTAATTATAAAATAGACTGTGTGAAAGGAAGACAGGATGAGGCTAATAAGAGTTCCGAGCTGTGCTACTATGTAGTATAATTCATTAGCCATACTTTGAATTATTAAACAAAAAGAGTAACAACACACTTTCAAGCAGTGAGGCTGTATAGGGATCTCCAAACAGAATTTTTGTTTTTTCTCACAATGCATCAAAGACAGAAGGGCAAACATGCTATCTGTTAGGAGAAACTGCTTGTACATTTGCTTCAGTGCCCTAAATTGGGCATGAGTGATTCCAAAATCTGACATTTATGCAAGGTGTGAAATGCAGAGCTAAAGTTTTAATGTTTCCTGAGTAACCCTAAACCAATGTTCTCTTTATTCCTCTTCCCTGGAATGGGGGAGGGGACAGTTCTAGCCAACTACATTCCAAGCAGTGGGAACACTTGCTACAAGATGCTATTTGCATGCTGTGATAAAGGACATTGGAATCCTGTGCAATCTTAAGAAGGACAAAAACACCAAGATAGGAGGGAAAGAACAGCAAGTCTTAAAGGCAGAACAGCAATTTACCCCAGCAGATGTTTAACTTGACAAATCCTTTATAATAAGAAGGTTCTAGCAAGTTTGAAAAAGTTAGAAGAAAGGCAGGTGGAAGGTGGACTTGCTGGAGAAGAGGTCTGAGGTGCCAGCAGTTTTAGTAAGGAGATCTGTGGATATACCAAGCAACAGAACACAGTAGTTCAGGGAATGGCAAATGACTGTTGCAAAAAGATGTGGACAATCTGAATGCACTACCATATTTGGAAGTATCCTACTGCTCTGGAATTCCTGTAACTGCTTTCACAGCAGTTAGCTATGTTTCCTTTTATTTTACCTAAGATGAGTTTCAGCTAACTAAGCTGGTTCCCCATATTGGTATTGATGGTTTTTTTTTGTTTGTTTGGTTTTTTTTTTTAAAGCTGCTTAATGAATTTGTCTAAATTAGGAGACTAAATTAAAGAGATTAAATGTGGCTTCTTCTGGGTTTTTTTTAATTAAACCATGGTCTGAGACAACACAGCAAATTGTAAGTACTTCCAAAACTCTGGACTGTTAAGTTTTTAAAGGCCAGTCTTGCTAAAATTTTGCCTACTAGTTCTACTTCTAAAATAAGAGATCTAATCTCTTATCACTGCCTTTGCTGTTTTTCTCCAAAAAATGGCACTTCTATGAATGACACCACACTGTTGAACAATGCTGAGTGGGCTATACTAGGAGATCATTCTTAAAAGTTCATCTTCAAGGTACAAAAGTTCATCTCCATGTAACTGAAGCAACTGGTAAAAGTAACCATTCATCCCAGGTCACAATTAGCAATTAGCCCAGTCTGGCATTGCATGAAACTTGTTAGGACATGACAATTGTTCGGTGGCCTGTGTAAAACAGACTAGTGATCTGAGGCCATTAACCCCGGGGGCTAATGTTTACACTACAAGTACTACTAACTGCCAAGCTCTTTAACATCTGCAGAAGACCTGGCAAACACTGAATGTGCAAAGACACAGAACCTGCATCCTGCCCAAATCCAAGTAAAAGCTACTGGTGAAGAAAAGAAGGAAAGAATGCTTGTGCTGGACCTGCTCGGTGGATAAAAGTCTCCTTTTAAATTCACTTCAAAATAAATAAAACCTACCTCACTGGTTTGGAATGTTCCCGCCTTGTCACCATGTTGGGATTTGAGAGCTACCCATAAGCACCTACCAGGCTTGCAATTTTGATTTTGACTCATCTGTTAGCGCAGGATGCCATTTAAATACTCAAAAGGGGCCTCATGCAGTCAGCTGACAGAGCAAAATTAATCCAAGGCCAATTTTAAATGTGAATATACAATGAGCATTTTGCTCAGAAAGCCCTGCCATTAAGCGTACTGTATTAAGACACACTCTGCATTCCAAATAGTGAAAATACAACATCTTTATGGTTACTGAGAAAACCCACAATCTATCATGTTTTATTGGTTGGAGAGGAAGAAGCAACTTGGCCAGATTCCTGGGGGAAAGATAGCCTGTCATATTTACTGAGATTTATTTATGAAAAAGCA